TTAGTGTAATAACCGCGGGGGCGGAAGTTGAAGACACTAAGGCCGCACGGTTCTTGAAGGAAATTAGCAAGTCCGTGACAACAGGCACACTAAGCAGATTGGTTTGAACTAGCCACAACTTTCTTTCTTTTTGCCACAAAGCAGATTGGTTTTCCCATCTGGTCTCTTCATACATATAATGGCTGCATTTTTAGATAAGCTCAGCAAAAGCACCACCACATGCGAGTTAAAGTATAGGTGTAGAGTTCAGAACAATGGCTTCAACCAACACAACTAGAAAGTCCAACCACTTTATTAGAAAGACATAAATTGGAAGGAAACTTAGACCCAACTAGTTGTGTGCCGCTCGCAACCAAGTCGAAAACCATAAAGGACAATCAGTAATTATACACTAATTTTGAGCAACCAAATGGTGATATAAAAGAATTATTACCTACCAATTCACTACATTATCAGCAAATATAAAGATGACATTCAACAACAGTTATTCGAATTTTCACAAAACAAACTATCGGTAAAGTTAATCACCATATGCACCCCACTACAAGAACACCAATTTCATTATAGCACATCACCACCACCGGCCATTGAAAATCAATGTCCACATAACCAACTGGAATTAAAATTATAGTCAAGTACTTATATACTCCTTAACAAAGATAGACTAAAGAACACCACCATTTACTACCATCACATGTAAGCAAGATGATCAGGGGTTGTCTAAGCACGCTCGCGGCTCGTCCGTAATTCGACGAGCTAGCTGGATGTCCTTGGGCATGATGGTCACACGCTTGGCATAGATGGCACACAGGTTGGTGTCCTCAAACAGACCCACAAGCTAAGCTTCGACAGCCTCCTGAAGTTCCAAAATAGCATGGCTCTGGAAACATAGATCAGTCTGCAACCAAATGACAAGCAATCAATAATGTCAAGGGACTACCGGAGATGGAGATCGGACAAGGCAATATTGTTGGGTTTACTGTCGGATCTGCACAACCGTCGGAGCTGGATGATTGTCTGAGATGGAGATCGGGCACGGCAATATTGCTGGGTTTCTCTCTGCCTTTCTTCTACGAAACAAGAGTGTGGATTTAGGACGTGAAATGCAACTCGAATTCGCGGTAGTGGAATTTGGGGGAAAAATGGTTTTGGTGCTTTCCACTCCCTTTTTTTTCCTTATTTCAATACGTAGAGATAGAGTGGGTTTTGGCGCCTAATTGACCCAATTATTTCTGTTATTAAATCATAGCCGTCCAACGCTTTTTAATCCTAGCCTTACAAGTCATTTTGTCAATTAGTTTTGTAACCCAAATTGGTACAAATAGCATTATTGGGTTTTTAGCCCCTGTTTGATCCTCATTAAATTATATTCCATTACATTCTATTTTTCTCTCTCCTATTTTCAACCAAACAATCTTTCATAAAATAATATTACACGTAAATCGAAAATTTTTCATCCTTTTTCAATCACTCATTTTTTCAACAAAACACTATTCCCCCCATTTTCATTACTAAAAATGGGGGCCAAACAGGGGCTTAATCTGGCCATGTAGCGCTTTTGTATTTGTACACTCCGATGTACACTCTCTTCACATGAGGGAGATCCCACAATTTTTTTTTAATCGTGAGCCCCCGTAAAGAGAGTATACATCGAAGTGTCAACCTCGATGTACTTGTAACAAAACTCTACAATGATAGTCAACCCGTGTTTAAAATCAATCCAGGTAATAATATTTGTGTGATTAAATTATAACTTCAATTAAATACGATAACTTCCAATAATTGAAAGCCACGTGGCTATACATGATTCATCTAACCTGGCAGTGTCCAACGGTCCAGTCTAAATCAAGAAATTGGGCGTGACGTTTGATTTATATAAAGCCCACAACAAGGATCTATCATTTTCAGTTGTTAGAGTGAAGAAAAAGAAAAGTCCTCTTCCTACGATTACTCCTGCTGCAAATACAGACAAAGAATACATCCATCTGAGCCAAATCATTCTTCGCAACCTCTACAGCTGTAGATAAATTAATTATTAGTGTGGGAAAAGAAGAAGAAGAAGAAGAAGAAATGGGTGTTTTGGATCATCTCTCCAACATGTTTGATTGCTCCTCTGGAGGTTCCAAGCTCAAGAAACGCAATCAATTGCAGGTCTCTCTCTCTCTAATGTGTGTGTGTATATATAAAAAGTAACTTTTAAGCTATATCTGTGTGTTTGTCACTGCAACTCGAAATTAATCAATTTTCTTGTTTTCAAATATTTATGATGGGCTGCAGACAGTGGAAATAAAAGTAAAAATAGATTGTGAAGGGTGTGAGAGGAAGGTACGAAGGGCAGTTGAAGGAATGAAAGGGGTTAGCTCAGTGGAGATTGAGCCTAAGCAAAACAAGCTTACAGTGGTCGGTTATGTCGACTCTGAAAAAGTGGTGGCTCGAGTGATTCTTCGGACCGGGAAGAAGGCCGAGCTTTGGCCCTATGTCCCGTATGATGTGGTCGAACATCCTTACGCACCCGGCGTCTACGATAAGAAGGCCCCGGCTGGGTACGTGCGCTATACCGAGGATGCTCAAATCTCGCATCTTGCACGTGCAAGCTCAACCGAAGTTCGTTACACCACTGCTTTTAGCGACGAAAATCCTGCTGCCTGTATGGTTATGTGATATTTTTAATTAATACATTATGCTTTAATTTGAAAATTGTTTGCAAATTTGAGTTTTTTCCTTTTGTCTATTAATTAAGTAGCTTATTTTAGAATCATTTGCTGAGGAGTGATGTGTTTATTTGGAATCTATTAGTTGTTTAATTGAATGTAAAAAAAGGTTGGATTTCTTTCTATAATGTAAATGGCTCTCCATTATATGCATATGCCAAATTCAAGATAGGAGATGATTATGAAAAGGAAGGCGTGATTGATCAAACCAATGGCTTTTTTGAAAGGTTTTAGGGTATATCATTTCTTTCCAGAAAATAAAGGTTGTCCGACAGAGTGGAAACTTTAAGGTTGGATAGCATTGTCTAGGACCAATGTTTTGAAATCCGGCCTGAATAAATTCTTAATTTACATATCGGGTACAAGCACAGGTTCAATTGGCAAATCAACATCAAAATGTAAATGATAAGAACCAAAATAAATGATAATGTAAATAGAAAGTTAGAACAGAGCTCAGTACAGCAGATGATAGGCATCAAAGAGAGCTTCTTTTATTCCTTTTTCTTGTGCTAAGATAACTAAATCAAGGATGGAGAAAACAAATAAATGCATGAAATGTGTTGACCTCCGAAAATGGTCAACAGGTATCTTTTAAAGACAATGTACACGTGAACGTGCCTTGTAATATATCTACTTTAAATGCATGTCATTGTGGAAGAAGAAGATAGAGGCAATATATTATGTTCTATTTTCCATTCAAAGATTCATCCTCTAAATTGATACAAGATTTGGTTACTTATAGTGATCAGGCAGACATGGTTATCGTTGGATCCGATCCACGTGGCCTGATCTGCTATACCCTGGCAACACATCAATTCTATTTCACATTAATTGTATTGATAGACATTTGATAAGGGATCAACTACTCTACCTCCCTAAACTGACATTCCTGACATATATTTAATGAGAACGTCACATCAATCAATCTCTAAGATAAGCTTATCAGACCCTCTTCTGCATGTCAAGGGCTTCGAAAGTTATGTAGTTCGGCCGAAGTAAACCCACTTCGGATGCACAGGGGCCGGCACAACTTCGGATGACTCTAGTAAACGACCTCATCATTCAATATAATAACCTCAGCTATTAACCTTTTCTGCGACTCTTCTTGACCTACTACCACGTGTATGAATATGGAACATCCACATGGGTCATTCTGTATGATCAGTAACATAATGGATGAAGATCAGATACCCATCAAGCGGTCGAGGCAGCCTCCATCTCAGCTTCTTTATTGTCTCAAGTAGAAGAAGATGCATCTAGTGTGGGGGTTTTAGGAGTACTGCTTTTTGTTGTGTCTCTAGAGGTGATTGAGGTGAATCGGGCTCATCTCCAATGCCAAGATTAAAAAAAACAGAGAGAGAGCACATTAAGTCAGACATCAAACACCATTTAGTGATAATCAGCCCATTTTGTGATCCAAAAACCAAATCAATTTCCATTCAAGCGCATCCAAGAAAAAGCAAATACACATTGTCGATTATACATAACGAATATATAAATGCTTACCAATGCCATTCGCGAAAAGCATCCTCACGCATCTCACTGTGGTCAGGAGCCAACGACCCATCAGGAGAAGGATCCGTGAAAAGTCCCTCAATGTCAGCTGCAGTATCATACGGCTTCCCATTCACATTTTCATTCCCACCAATGCCATTCACATTGAAAGGCGACGGATATGCATTTCATTGTTGGTGCTCATCATGGGATCGCTAGAAAATTCATCCATAACCATAGGGGCTGGTTGCAGCGTAGCTCTGTCATGGCCAGTTTCGTTAAAATCATAGTTCTCGTAGCCCAAGTAGGAATTGTTGTCACTGGGACTTGCATTTGGTTGGATCTCCTCACTGTTCTGCGTAGCCCTCATCAAATACATCCATTTTGATAGTTCTCTCTGTGTATATGTGAGTGTGTATGTATGTGCAGATGATTTTAACGAGATCAAATTTGGAGAAGAAATCAGTGGATAATAGGTGATGTCATCTATGTTTCGATTTGATCTGTTTTTTGTTTGAAGACAATGGGAGAGATCACAGGCGATTTCAGTGCGCTTCAAAGAGTTCTGTGCATAAAAGAGATGCGTGCAAAGAACGTAAAAATGGAATATGTCATGCGGTTGACTATTGAATTTCTTATAATTCGTCAAATTCGTAGCTGTGCAGTCAATGAAAACATTCTTGAGATCTGCTGGAGGGCCAGGCTTAACCACATGATTGTGTAAAAATGGAATATGTCATGCAGTTGATTATTGAATTTCTTATAATCCATCAAATTCGTAGCTGTGCAGTCAATGAAAACATTCTTGAGATTTGCTGGAGGGCCTGGCTCAAAGTCGGGACAAAAAACAGGGAGCCTATGTGGCGGCCCCTCATTGGAGGGGTGTCAGTCCCAGGCTCCCTGTTTCTGGCCTGGCTTTGAGCCGGGCCATGGATGTGCGTCATAAATAACCGGAGGTAAAGACAAAAAGTCGGGCCAAACAGGTTCTCCCAACATTCTTTGTCTTCAACGTAATGGGTTAATATTGAATTAAAAGTAATGGCCGTGTATTGGACAATAATATTGTACCTTTTTTTTTTTTTTTTTTTCATTTT